ATGCAGCTCATGTTTCTTTGATATAGTTATTATGATTTCTTATGATTGAGCAGATGAAGACTAGTATATGGTATATGTTCTGTATCTCAAAAACAAGAGCCAATAGGGGAAAACTAGTGTCACTTTTGGAATCGGCATGTCAAATATACACAGAAACCTCTATCTCAAAGGAAAGGATGTCTAGACAAGACAATTAAATCGTGCCTTTGTTTTTATTATTATTTAATTGAATTATGTTTGTCTGGTTTAGATGTGTCCTTTTACTTTGTCCTTTTTGATGATGTGTTTTTTTTTTTTGGTGAAACGTAATAAAAACATTATAAAAACATATACACAGAAACACTTTTAACACTGGAGGTACCAAAATGTGTGTTGGTCAGTGTTATGTATGAAATTTAAAATCTATAACATACAAATATGAAAACAGAGTTAACACAAGTCAATCAAAATCACTTCCAATAGTAAAAGGTTGTTAAAATAATCACTCTTTAAGGCAGTGTATAGGTGCTCCCCTTGTCTCAATAATCCTCAAGTTCAAAAGTGACCAAACAAGTGAGGGTTGCAAGACAGGAAAGCCTAAATCAGGCATGGGCAAACTTCAGCTCACCAGGTGTTTTGGACTTCAACTCTTACTATTTCAAAGAGCCAGTAGGCTGTTAGGAATTGTGGGAGTTGAAGTCCAAAACACCTGGTGGGCCAAAGTTTGCCCATGCCTGGCCTAAACTCTTTGCCCAGCCTTCAGCCCCCAGTTAGAGAATGGTGGTCAATTGGTGCCAATTCATTAAGTCTGTGACAACAAGCTCCCAATTTCCTCTTTCCTGAGGCCTTAGAAAGGCGACATGTTATCCTGGTGGCATCTGCATCCTCCGCTCCCCTGCCTCTCGGGAAGAGTTATTTTAAAACTTTTAGCCTCACACCAGGATAACAGCAACAGGGAAAAGGCGGGGAATAAGTGACAGGGAACACAAATGTTTCAGCTGGTATTGCTTTAAAAGTGAGGCCCCCGCTCTTCTGTGTTCAGGAGAGGGTTGGCAGTTGGAGAGGATTTTGGTTTACATGTTGGGAGAGAGGACCGTTGGCTCCAAAGAAATGTTTTGCCCCTAAATAGAGGCGACTTGGCAGCTCTTGAATAATGCTGAAGAGTTTTCCCAACGGCTGGCTGGGAGTGAAAACGTGGAGAGGATTTGGTTGGCATAGTTTGGACTTCCATTATCCAAAATGCTTGGGACCAGATGTGATTTGGATCTGCAAGTATTTGTGTATACACAAAACCTTGAAAGGGGACCAAAGATGGATTTACCCTGGAAAACAAGGCATTATATGGGTCTCCACCGACCGTATAATGCCTTACTTGGCAGTGTACATCAGGGAACCTCACACTTTTGAAGCAGAGGGCCAGTTCCTGATCCCCTAGACTGTTCAAGGGTCGGACTATAGTTTGCACACAAAAAGGAAAAAAGAATGAATGTTACATACACTGCTCATATCTTATTAAGAATGAATTCTACACACACTGCACATATCTTATTTGTGGTGCAAAAGAAAAAACCCATAAAATAGCAATACAATATATAAAATGAAGAATAATTTTAACCCCCGGTGGTGCAGTGGGTTAAACTGTTGAGCTGCTAAACTTATTGACCAAAAGGGCGCAGGTTCAAATCCAGGGAGCGGCGTGAGCTTCTGCTTTCAGCCCCAGCTTCTGCCAACCTAACAGATTGAAAACATGCAAATGTGAGTAGATCAATAGGTACTGCTACGGTGGGAAGGTAACTGTGCTCCATGCAGTCATGCCGGTCACATGACCTTGAAGGTGTCTACAGACAACATCGGCTCTTCGGCTTAGAAATGGAGATGAGCACCAACCCCCAGAGTCGGACACGACTGGACTTAATGTCAGGCGAAAACCTTTACCTTTAAACGTACCTGTATTTCAATGGGAAGAGTGGTGTTCCGTCTTCCAGGAGCTTGGTTTGCATTGCCCTTTAGTTGCTTGAAATAGCATCCCTTTGCATTTCCCCCAGGGTTGCTACAGTCTTAGCAGCACCCTAATGGTCAAACATTAACAGAGGCTGGAAGCAAGCCTGCAAGCCTTTTGCAGCTATTGGCTTAAAAAAGTATCTCCTTGGTCCAGAGACTGCCCTTTTTCCTGGGGACGAGATCTCCATTTTGGAGAAGCTCTCCTGCCTTCTTCAGTATAGAAAAAGCCTCAGATGTGCTGGTGGCCAAGCTAGGCAGTTCGGGCAGGCCATCGTGAGTCCGGTTACCCTCTTGCCTTAGAAACTGGTGCTGAGCTCAGATAGGGGAAGACCTGCTCTTTCTAAAAGATAGCAGCTCAGCGCTGGGGCAGAGAATATCTCAGGATTTCTCTGCCATTGGGAGAGTCTCCATTACTTCATCCCCAAACTAACCTTGAGCTTGGATAGGGGAAGACCTGCTCTTTCTAAAAGATAGCAGCTCAGGGTTAGGGTAAAAGATCCCAGGATTTTTCTACCGTTGGGGAAAGTTAACTCGGCAGCTGAAGGAAAAAGGAAAGAAAGAACATCTATATAATTTCACTAGTTGACTGTGTTTTTAACTTCATCAAGCTGTGCCAAGTCTGTCAAGGACTTTGAGAAATAAATGTTCTGTTTGATGTTCAAATCTGGACTGGCCTCAGTTGCTGGGAATTCTGAGCTTCTAAGTAAGGCACTCGCATTTCACCCGGATAAAGAGAGAAGCACATCTTAGTTTTAACTTTGTAGTGTCTGGGTGTGATGGCACAAGTGGACTTAGTTTTGGCTGATGAGAGAGTTTACTTGTCCGAACGTATCTCCCACTACAATCCACCTAGGGCCCTAAGATCATCTGAGGAGACCCTGCTCATTGTCCCCCCATTGTCACAATTGCGTCTGGCGGGGACAAGGGGCAGGGCCTTTTCTGTGGTGGCCCCCCGGCTGTGGAACTCCCTCCCGAGTTAAATTAGATCTGCTGCATCCCTCTTGACCTTCTGGAAACGAGTAAAATCTTGGCTATGGGATCAGTCCTTTGGAGAATAGGCTGACCTACTGAGGTGTTGACTTATTTAGAACTGATGGACTGCCCTTGGATAATGATTTAAATTGGTGACCACTGACTATTTGTTGTCTGTTTTTATATTCATAGAATCAAAGAGTTGGAAGAGACCTCATGGGCCATCCAGTCCAACCCCCTGCCAAGAAGCAGGAATATTGCATTAAAATCACCCCTGACAGATGGCCATCCAGCCTCTGTTTAAAAGCTTCCAAAGAAGGAGCCTCCACCACACTCCAGGGCAGACAGTTCCACTGCTGAACGGCTCTCACAGTCAGGAAGTTCTTCCTCGTGTTCAGATGGAATCTCCTCTCTTGTAGTTTGAAGCCATTGTTCCGCATCCTGTCAGATGATATTAAGCAAAACACAAATCTTCTTATAGGACTGAAACATGGAGGCCACGTCTACACATTGGTGTAGATCAGTGGTTGCCAACCTGTGGTCCGCGGACCACCAGTGGTCCCCGAGAACTAAAATATGGTCCACGGCCTCACTGTTACTACACCATTGCAACGAGAGCAACTTGTCTCATGAAACCCTCTTATAGTGCCAAGGCAGCAGGGATGTTGGGAGGGAAGAGGCAAAGAAGGAGCCTCCACCACACTCCGGGGCAGAGAGTTCCATTGCTGAACGGCCTTCACAGTCAGGAAGTTCTTCCTCATGTTCAGGTGGAATCTCCTTTCTTGTAGTTTGAAGCCATTGTTCCGCGTCCTAGTCTCCAGGGAAGCAGAAAACAAGCTTGCTCCCTCCTCCCTATGACTTCCTCTCACATATTTATACATGGCTATCATGTCTCCTCTCAGCCTTCTCTTCTTCAGGTTAAACATGCCCAGCTCCTTAAGCCGCTCCTCATAGGGCTTGTTCTCCAGACCCTTGATCATTTTAGTCACCCTCCTCTGGACACATTCCATATTGTTTTTATATTGTTTATACTGTTTTATATTGTTATTATTACATTATTGTTAATTGGATATTTATATTTTGATGTGGGCGTCATGGGGTGCCACTTTGTTACCCCTGCGGACAGGGCCGTAGCCAGAAAAAAATTTCGGGGAGGGTTGACAATTTCGGCGGGGGTGGGGGGGTGGGTTGAAAATTTCGGGGGGGGGTTTGAAAATTTCAGGGAGGGTTGAAAATTTCGGGGGGGGGGGGGTTGAAACCTGCCTCCTAGCTCACGCTGAAGCAAAGAGCACAGCAGGGGGCAGAGCAACCTTCAATAGCCCGTAGCTCCACCCCTGTCAACCACCTCCACCAAGTCTGGCCTCCTTAATGAGAGCATTCAACACACACACACACAACTTGGTTGCTTCACTACATCGGCTATTGCTGCAAGTAATGACAGTGTGAATAAATTGTCAATATTTGCTTGAGATAGTGCTTACAGTTCTAGAGGGACTCTTAATTTTTTGCATCTCATAGACTTAGCATGGGGATTTGGTTAACCAGTTAAAATTCATGAGTAAACCAGGTTTTTTAAAAAAATCAAACATTTCTGGGGGGGGGGGTTGAACCCCTAAAACCACCCCCTCGCTACAGGCCTGCCTGCGGAGGTTGAGAAAGGACGGGATAGAAAAGCCCTAAATCAATAATCAATCAAGTCGTTCAATTCAAGAAGTATTGCAGAAAGGTCATGCCACTGTCCACTTCCAAAAGGGTGAGTGTAGATGGGGCCTGGGAAGGAGGAGGAGGAGGAGAAGCAGGAGTTTTCAAAGTTGGGAGAGTTTCGCCTTTGGAGGAGGAGTTGGCGGCTTTGGAGACAAAAGCCTCGCGAGAAACAAAACAACTACGAGGAGGCGAAGGCTGAGTGTCCAGCCGAGATATGTGTGTGTGTGTGTGTGTGTTGTGTTGACTAGGGAAAACTGGGCGGGAGGAGCAGCGAGGGGCTTGCAAGAGGAGGAGGAGGAGAAAGCAGAGGAGGAGGCGGAGCTGCCCCTCCGCCTCCCTCGCAAATCCTTCAGCAGCAGAAGCAGCAGAAGCAGCCTCCGCCGCCGCCGCCTGTGGAGCCGAGCTGGCCTTCCCGCTCTGCCTGATGTCCCTGCCGGTGGTGCTGCCGGGCTCCTGCTGCCCGGTGTCCCGGCTGTCTGCGCTGGCGCCCTCCTGCTCCGCGGAGGCTCCCCCGCGCGGGTCCCGCTCCGCCCGGCCCCTCAGGCCTGCCCGCCGCTGTGCTCCCGGGGCCCCCTCTTCCTCGGGGCTGCTGCTCCTCCCGGCGCGGCCCCTGCTCTCCCTGGGGCTCCTCCAGCTCATGCTGGGCGGCTGCATGGTGGCGCTCAGCTTCGGGGCGCTCTCGCTCAGCAGCTCCCCGCAAGTCAAGAACTCCTGCCCCTTCTGGGCCGGCGCCTCGGTGAGTGCACTGCCTGCGCCCCCACGCCTTGCCTGGGCCCCCCCGGCTTGAATTTACAGCGCCAAAGTCTGTCTCGGTGTGTATATCTCCATATGCAGTGTAGATCAGGCATGGGCAAACTTCAGCCCTCCCACCAGGTGTTTTGGACTTCAACTCCCACAATTCCTAACAGCCGGTAGGCTGTTAGGAATTGTGGGAGTTGAAGTCCAAAACATCTGGAGGGAGGGCTGAAGTTTGCCCATGCCTGATCTACACTGCATATGGAGATATACTCTCATATAGATACATGCATACAGGGTGGGGCAGAATGTCACAAAGCGGCTCCAATATTTCATAACTTTTGTTTTTCTTGTTTACTATAATAATAATAATAATAATAATAATAATAATAATAATAAGCCATAACTTTATTTACAGTGTATGCATAGGATCTGTACATACACACACATACACAAGGTGGGCCAGAGAAGTCACAAAGCAGTTTCAATATTTCATAACGTTTTTGTTGTTTACTATAGTAAATAATAATGATAATAAGCTATAACTTTATATACAGTATATGCATAGGACCTATACACACATGTATTTATGCACACACATGCACACAAGGTGGAAAAGAGGTCACAAAGCGGTTTCAGTAGTTAATAACTCCTTTATTTGTTTGTTTTTTTGTTTACCATAACTTTGTATACAGTATATACATAGGATCTATATACACATATATTTATGCGCACACACATAAACAAGGTGGGCCGAAGAAGTCACAAAGGGGTTTCAACAACTCCTTTTGTTTGTTGTTTTCATTTACTATAACTTTATATACATATATATATATATATATATATATATATATATATATAAAATATAAGACCTACATACACACACACACATATACACACAAATATATAAGGTGGGCTAAAGAAGTCACAAAGGGGTTTCAATATTTCATAACTCATTTATTTGGGGTTTTTTGTTTACTATAACTTTATATACAGTGTATGCATAGAACCTTTACACGCACGCACACACACACAAGTTGGGCCAAAGAAGTCACAAAGGGGTTTCAATATTTAATAACTCTTTTATTTGTTTTTTCGTTTACTATAACTTCATATACAGTGTATGCATAGGACCTATACACACACACATATACACACACATACACAAATTGGGCCAAATAATATAAAAGGGATATAAAAGTTATAAATAAATAAATAAATAAATAAGTCACAAAGGGATTTCAGTACTTAATAACTCCATTATTTGTTGTTTTTCATTTACTGTAACTACGAAGTTACAGTAAATGAATACGAATACAGTGTACAGGCATTCCCCAAGTTATGGACAAGATAGGTTCTGTAGGTTTGTTCTTAAGTTGAATTTGTGTGTAAGTCGCAACAGGTACATTTTTAACTGTAACTCTCTCTATGTATATATGTGTGTGTGTGTGTGTGTGTGTGTGTGTGTGTGTGTATTACATCTATCTATCTATACCCATGCCCATATATATATTCTATTCTATTTGATTTGTCCTTTGGGCTTCACACAGATCTACCATTTGCCAAAATATACAATTTTGTGCTTTTCTTTTCTATTTCTGGCTAAATAGTTTAACTAATGGTTTGTCTCATCGACTACAAGGTTGGCTCAACGGCCACTTGTGGTCTCTTGTTATCCAGTTCATTAGTGTCCCTCAGTTTGGCTAGCATAGGGAAGGGTTAACAGCCTCGTGGTGTTTGTTTTGTTTTGTTTTAAGCCCCTGTTCAGAAGATTTCACCTCTCTTTCTGTCCCTGTGATCATTGGATTTTTAAAAATGTAACTTGTTGTTGAAACAAGGATTGGTGATAAAACTTCAGTGGAGACCCCTTTCCCCCATGATAACTTTTCTGGAGTGAATCTCCTTTCCGAGGGGTAGATTTTTCTCATTTTTGTTATCTCACCCCCGTTCTTAACTATTAGTTGTTAGTAAGTCAGATGTTTGTAACTCAGGAATTGCCAGTAACTCCTATTTTTAAAATTTACAGTACGATAGCATTATATGCAATATATGGTATATAGGAGATACATTTGCACCACGTGTGAAAAATTAAATCTTGTCAGTAGTGTTTGGTATTGTAACATCATATTATAAAGTATACATTGAACTCCTGTATATTTAGGATGTCCCAAAAAAGTCACAAAGGGGTTTTTGTATTTAATAACTCCTATTTGTTTTGTTTTTAATTTATGGTACCATAGCATCATATACACAGTACTGGAAATAGTAACCTTCTGCAAGCCTCCTATACTAGTTATTTTATCATTCAGATTGCTTACTATATTGTATATGTGTGTATTGGAATATGTATATTGTTTGAGGTTGTGGGAGGGGCTGCAGACCATGTGATCAGATCTGGGACTATTCAGACTGAGACTCCATTTTAGAAGTCAGTGTTCGATCAGTATTGTATTGTTTAGTCAGTGTTGATTAATCATTAAGCATTAGACATAAGACAGAGAAAAAACTGCAACAGAATGCCTTAGAGAACTTGTTGTTTAAACTTTCAACTGATAAGCAATGTACCTGTATGCTGAATATATGAAATTTGTAAGTAAACCAACTATGTTACTTTTAACAAAGACTACTTATTTTCGTCTCTTGAGAACATGATGTAAAACCAAAGATATATTATTGGCACAGCGGATTAAACCGCTGAGCTGCTGAACTTGCTGACTGAAAGGTTGGCAGTGCGAATTCAGGAGGCAGGGTAAGCTCCTGATGTTAAGTCCAGCTTCTGCCAACCTAACAGTTTGAAAACATGCAAATGTGAGTAGATCAATAGGTACCGCTCCGGCGGGAAGGTAACGGCGCATGACCTTGGAGATGTCTATAGAAAACACTAGCTTTTTTTCTTTTCAGATTCTCTAATGTGATAATTTGTGTAGCTGTATTCTGTGCAGCAGTTTTACTGGAACTGTTTAAATCAATTTCAGAAAATATAGCATTGAGGAAATACAGTCTGAGAGTGATGTGTTTCAGAGTTTTATATTGATACTCCAATTCATGGAACCATCTAACCATGTGGTCTCCTTCTGCTTTGTACCTCTGTGAGGTGTTGATAGGATATACGGTAGTTATGCTTTTGATAAATGTTGATTTCTGTTGATTTTGCCATATTATACCAGCTTGGTTTAATACAAGCCCTCTCCCACACCAGATTAATGTATCAGATTTGGTGGCTTCATTCATTTCATGGACTTCTATTACAACAGAAAGAAGTATTGTTTGTGCAAGGCTTCCTTATAGTGTTGTTGAAGGCTTTCATGACCGGAATCAGTGGGTTGCTGTGAGTTTTTCGGACAGTGTGGTTATGTTCCAGAAGCATTCTCTCCTGACGTTTCACCCATATCTATGTCAGACATCCTCGGAGGTTGTGAAGTCTGAGGTCAGATCAGACTTCACGACCTCTGAGGATGCCATCCATAGATGTGGGCAAAACATCAGGAGAGAATGCTTCTGGAACATGGCCATACAGCCTGGAAAACTCACAGCAACCCTTATACTCTTTGCTAAGTTACCTTTCTCCTTATCCTAGACACAAACAAGAAAATATTTATTTTCATAGAATTTGCTTCTCATAGGTGATCAGATCGTCATTGTGTGTTCTTTCTCTCTCTTTGTGGTCTTGTGGGTTAAAAAACATGTTAATTGTCAGAATAATGGATATGCCCTTACAGTTCTAACCAATACAGTAGTTATTTCAGGAAAATTACACGTTGTATAATTTGTCCAGTACTTTCTAGAAGCAGTGATCAATTATAATTAAATTTTCTTTTATTACTATGAGGCTTTCTATTGAAGAGGCTATATATAGCAGGAATGCATCGAAGGGAACAAATCTTACTGAACTTTCAGGAAAAACAGATTCCTGCTTCTAGGAAATACAGTGAAAACTGACTGATCTAAATACACAGCATCAAGGCATAATATGCTGCCTTCCATAACTTATTGAATCACAGTTCCCTTCGTTCCTTATTACTGACTGTTGATTGAGTTGATGGAAGTTGCCCCCCAACAACATCTATAGGGCTGCTCATCCTCTTCCTTGATATCTCCATGTTTATATACAGTAAACTAAGAATAAGGGATTCCATACCATTGGAACTACATGAAACTAATATTGATATGCTGGTGGCAGAAGTTTAGCTGCAGCTCCTATTTCTTTTTATAAGGAGGCAATATTTTTAACAACCTTGCCAAACATCATTTTATGGCCATGCTATTTGTGGGAACTCACATAGGCCAACAAATTTAGATATGTTTGCTTTTGGGAAACTCTAGTAAGTAAAAGCATCTGTTCTGTACAAATAATAGAGATGACAAGGAATAGTAAAAGTCATGTGATCTTTCAAACAGATGACTGACGCTGTCAATCATCTGACAGGTTCTGCTCGTGTATGAACAAGTCAGGGCACATGAGGATACAGTTTTTTTCTAATTAGCTACTAACAGAGTCTGCAATCTTTAGTAGATTAAACAATCTATGTCATCTTCTGTAAATTACATTTTAAATGTTTTCTTTTAAGAAGTAAAGTTAGGCCCCATCTACACTGCTATATGAAATCCAGATTATCTGCTTTGAACTTGATTATATGGCAGTGCAGTTTCTTATAATCCGGTTCAAACCAGATAAACTGGATTATATGCCAGTGTAGATCCAAACTCAGTTAAAATGATTGTGCTATTTATTTATTTATTGTGTCAAAAGCAAATTGAGAATACAGTTATAACATATAAAAAACTACAAAGTTTAAAACTTGGCATGATGTTAAATTTCCTTTGATCAGAAACTGGCCACTTGCAGTGCCTCTGGTGTCACTGTAAGGAGTTCCTCATTGTCATGTGGCAGGGCTCAGACTACATTGTAGTAAGTGGTCAGTGGTTTGCTCTTCTCCACACTCGCATGTTGTGGACTCCGCTTTGAAGCCCCGTTTCTTAAGTTTGACTCTGCATCTCGTGGTGCCAGAGCGCAGTTTGTTCAGCACCTTCCAAGTCACCTATTCTGTGTGCCCAGGAGGCAGTCTCTCATTTGGTATCAGCCATGGCTTGAGATTCTGGTTTTTAATCTGCCACTTTTGGACTCTTGCTTGCTGAAGTGTTCCTGTGACTATCTCTGTAGATCTTAGGAAGCTATTTCTTGATTTAAGGTGTTGGCATGCTGGCTGATATCCAAACAGGGGATGGGCTGTAGATGTCAATGCCTTGGTCCTTTCATTACATGCTACTACTTCACAAGTGGCTAAACAGTATAATTTCTCCAGTGACGTAGGGCGTAGACATCCTTTGATAATGTAGCATGTCTCATTAAGAGCCACTCTTTTAATGTGGTGAGATGTATTGCACACTGAGCATGCGTATTAAGCAGCAGAGTAGCATAGCGCAAGGGCAGATGTCTTCACTGTATCTGGTTGTGATCCCCAGGTTGTGCCAGCCAGCTTTCGTATGATATTGTTGTTAATGTCCACTTGTTGCTTGCTATTCAGGCAATGCTTCTTGTAGGTCAGAGAATGGTCCAGGGTAACTCCCAGGTATGTGGGTGTGCTGCAGTGCTCCAGTGGGATTCCTTCCCAGGTAATCCTCAAGATGCTTGTCTGTTCTTAAGATGAAAAGCACATGCCTGCATTTTAGATAGATTAGGAATCAGTTGGTTTTCCCTGTAATTATTGTGGTTATAAATTATCACAATGCTGTGTATTGTGGGAATACATGATTGCAGTTGTCAAAGCGTAATCCAGAGGTGTGCATCCATAACTGATTTGTATTCACTATTTCTATGTATTCATGATTGTGATAATCATGTAAGGAATATGTAGGGATTGTAAAACTATTCCAATCCTGGTTCACTAAACAGCAGCCGCTGTGGTGAGTGTCTGTTCTGTGGATGGGGATGCAGCAGACTGGCGTTTCCACTTACCTCCTGCTAGTGATCTTTGGTGTGGCAATCAGAAACAGGATCACTTATCACAATTCCTTCTTGTACCAGAGATCACTGGTTAGTGAGGGGATGGAAAAGTGAGACTGCTGTGTCCCAGTTGACAAGAAAACTCTCGCAATGGCTGCTGCTTAGTAAGGCCATGCTTACTGGGATAAATTACTCACTGTATATACTTGTGTATAAGTTGACTTGGAATTCGATTCAAAACACTGCTGGGGAAAGTCGAAGGTAAAAGGAAGAGGGGCCGACCAAGGGCAAGATGGATGGATGGCATCCTCGAAGTGACTGGACTGACCTTGAAGGAGCTGGGGGTGGTGACGGCCGACAGGGAGCTCTGTCGTGAGCTGGTCCATGAGGTCACGAAGAGTCGGAGACAACTGAATGAATGAACAACAACATAAGTTGACCTCATGTATTAGTTGGGGGCAGGTTTTTGGGGTGAAATTATGGGTTTTGATATGCTGCATGAGTAAGTTGAAGGTCATTCCATAGAGAAGAGCAAACCACAGACCACCTATTACAATGCAACCTGAGCCCTGCCACTTGCACAATGGAGGACCTTCTTATAGCAACACCAGAGGCACTCCAAGTGGCCAGCTACTGGTCAAAGGACATTTAATAGAAAGCCAAATTTGCAAGCTTAGTTTTCTTTTTATAAATACAATACAACTGTTTGGTTCACTCCTGACATGATAAATAACAAAAATTCCATAGAGAAGGGAAAGGGCCAGTTGCGCATCAGAAGGCCAGTTGTCTCTGACCACCACTGCCATTTTCCCACCCAGACATTCAAAAAGACCACAAAGCTCTTGCCTTTTGATGCTGTATATTCAGAGAAGGAAATTGTTTCTGTTTGAGAAGAATTATAGTATGTTTGACCTCTCTAAAGAATGTAATTTTACAGAGGTTTTTCATACAGTCACCTACACATTTTGAATTTTAAGTTAGACATTAAATTAGAGATTAGATACAATTTGATTTTTTATCATTTGTGATATTACCATTGCTTATGACTGTGACAAATTTTGGCTCGTTTAGACATGTATCAATTTTTTGAAGTTCTGTTAATTTTCTTATTAAAATATCCTATTATACATTCATATTAAGATTATTATCGATTTAATTTAAAATATATTAATATGAATAGCAACAGTAAATGTGAAGGACGTTTGCCTTCAGAAATCATTCAGAATTCAAGTGGAAACTGTTCAAGTGATAACAAAACGCTTATTTCTAGCATTGTCCAACCTCAAGCTGAATAGCCTAGAAACTTGTTTATGTTGAGACAGGTTTTTAGGAACTTAAATTATACTATATGAAATATGTCTAGATCAGTGTTGTAAATACCAGCCTACCCCTCTGCTCCGCCTTTTGATCTGTAGATTATTGGATCACAACTCCCATAATCTCCAATCTTCTAAGCAGTTATGCTGAGTGAGTAACATGACAGCTGTACTCTAGTATGTTTGGAAGGGACCATATTAAAAAAGGCAGATGTACCCTGTCTTGGATATATAAACAAAAGGAGAATGGGTGGATGGTGAGAGATATAGAAACAAAAGGAGAGTGGGTGGAGAGATACAGACATGTTTTGTCTCAGCAATAAGATTTCATGGCAGGGAAGGAGGGGCGAGGCCCATTCGTAACTAGGAATCGTATGTAAGTCAGATGTTCAGAACTCGGGAGCAACCTGTATTTGCTCTGTATTGTCCTATGCATAAAACTCTTCTATAGATGAGAACCTCTGTTAAAAGCCAGCTTGGTGTGGTGGTTTAAGCCTTGGATTACAACACTGGAGACCAGGGTTTGACTCCCCATTCTGCCATAAAACCCACTAGGTGACCTTCGTAAAATCACACTCAGGACACTTCCAGACAGCATAAAAATGTGGGTTTTGATTGGGGGACAAAAAAACCCAGGATCTGAGAACATGTCTCCACACAGAACTGTGGCTCCCATGGTTTCTTCCCCTGCCATCCCCGCAGGCTTCCTCTGTATCAAACCAAGATAGAGGGCGGATGGGAGATATCTGGCGGAAGGATTTTTTAAAAGAAAAATCACTCTGTTATGTGCTGGACCGTATATGCGTACATGCAAATATCTTAATATAAATACAAGCAGAATTGCATAAACGCATATGAGGTTCAACACATAATGGAGATAATTTAAAACTTTTGCCGGATTTCTCTTTTCCACCAATTGTTTATTCAAGCTCTGATTAATATTATAAAATTTAATTGCTCTCCATACATGCTTAAATTAGCTGTTTTATCCATTTCACAGCCCAATCAGCTGTTCTGGGCTTTTAAAAAGTGGACATGTGCTGGAACAGTCTCTACAGGGGGGAGGGAAGGAAATTATGTGTTTTTTTGGGTTTTTTGGGGTTTTTTTTGCAATTACAGGGATATACAGTGATGTGAATATATGCATTTTCTGTCCAGAATTGGGACAAAAGGCAACCCTTTTACCCTGTGTTTTGCATCCGTTGCAGTGCATCAGCACGGATTTACTGCTAGCATCATGCGGACACCCCTTTTTACACTCGGGAAATCCCGTGTTTTAGGTTCTGTTGTAGATGTGCCTGCCGACTCAGAGGAAGGTAACAACAAACCTCAACTAATCTTGTCAAGAAAACCCTGCAATAGATTTGTACAGATGGATCAGGGCATGGATGCATTTCTTTATTTCATACCAACGTTAACCACAGTTGCAATCTGAACCCCCACATTTTGTTTCAGAAATGTGGTTGTTTTCCATAGGTTTTTTTCTAATTCTGGAAATTTTTAAATAACAAAAGTTGTGGCATATTCAAATTATATTTTAAAATATAAAATCAGAGGTGTGCTTAAATCCTCTTGATATTAATGAATAGTTGTCTCATTGACTTCAGTGGAATCCAAAAAAGTGATTTCAGAGGTATTTGAACATGTCTTTTCAGAGTTTTAAGGTGAAATTAGAATATATAAACATTGGTAAGATTTCTAATACCCAGTAAACCCAATAACATCAACAAAAAATCTGAAAGGAAGAGTAAACATATTAAATGTAAAATATGCTTTGATGTCATTTTATTTTATTTTTATTTTGCAGGTCATTTTATCAGGAATTATAGGATTAACAACATGGAAGAGACCAATGATTCTTTTGGTAAGTGTCAGTTAATATGATAGTTTTCATTAAAATGTAACATTGCAACAAGTCGTATGATTATTATTGATTTCATAGCAGAATGGTTGAAAGAGAAGCAAGGTTATCATTTTTGAGGATGAATAGTTTACATTTTGAAGGCGTAAAGTCATATCACTGATGATAGTACTGAGACTACAATATTTCATTGATTGTGAAATGCCATCAGTTCTAAGAAGCAGCCCTATTTTTGCTGTCCAATTTTGAGGAAGGTGTTATTTTCAAATGTAGGATGCATTCTTTTTATTTGAGCCTTGGTTTTTTTTTAAAAAAAAGTTTTTTAATTGTCACCCCTTCTTGTTTGTCTCTCTGCCCAGCTGTCCTGAGCAGCTCCTGGCAAGTCTCCCTGCCCCTGCGCCCACTGCTGCCTTCACCTCTAAATTCCCACATCTCTTATGCCGTTGCAGCCAGTTGGGTGCGTGGGGCTTCTTCACTCCAGGCTGCTGCTGACCTAGTTGCTGCTGTCTCCCAAATGTTGCTGGGTTTGCCTTAAAGAGAAAGGGGGGATACTGGGAGGGTGGCATTTGGCTCCCATGGGACTGATTTTGATCTACACCAGTGGTTCCCAATCATTTTTTGACCAGGGACCACTTTGACCAGGGACCACTCTCCAACATTAGTATCGAAAGTGTTACAAATCAGTTTTTGGTCAACTTTAGATTCGGTTTGGTTATTTTGGGTGCTGATTCATAAAATTGCATTGGATAGATCACATCAGCTCTAGTTTCTGATACAGAACATATGCCATCCTGTAGTCGCCATCTGCTCACCCACAGAAAACCATATTTAACCATCTAAAGCTGATGTGGTCTCTGCAATGCAATTTTATGAATCAGCACCCCAAATAACCCCAGGAACAGACATAAAAATGAAGATACAAAGGCACTCCCGCTTCCAGGTACTACATGGAACATCTCTGCTCAGAGGAAGGAAGGAAGGAAGGAAGGAAGGAAGGAAGGAAGGAAGGAAGGAAGAGAAGAAGCAGCAATCAGGAGGCTTGTTGCCTCACCTTTTGTGGGTAGTCAGCCTCTTCCCTCCCAACATCCCTGCTGCCTTGGCACTATAAGAGGGTTTCATGAGACCAGTTGTTCTTGTTGCAGTGGTGTAGTAACGGTGAGGCCGTGGACCATATTTTAGTTCTCGGAGACCACTGGTGGTCCGCGGACCACAGGTTGGCAACCACTGATCTACACCAATGTGTAGACGTGGTCTCAGTGTTTTAGTCCCATAAGAAGTTTTGGGTTTTGCTTAATATCATCTGATACGTTTCCTTATTATTGCTTCTTGTAATACTTTTTTGTGTGTCTGTAACACCTTTTCATTTCATTTTTTCTAAACAATGATTGAAGTTCTGTATCTCAATCATAATAATGGTTTAAATTCTTTTGTCCTACACCTATTTCAACGTGTAGGACAAAAACTGTACTGTTGCTGCAGCAGCAGTAGCAACAACAACAGAATATTAATAAAAGATAGAAAACCCACGCTTACGCTGATGAATAATAATGTATGCCAAGAGAAAACTTAATGTATTCTTCATTCTCTGCTTTGATTTAACCCGTTTTTACCTCACAACTCTTGGAGGAACTTCGTCACATTGAAGCTAAAAGTAATGAACTAAAGATTTACAAATGTGAAAATAGTGAGAAAATACTGTGCAGAGTTATATATTTATTTATAGTACCTAATTTCTGCTGGAACAAACATGGTCTGTGCATACTTGTGTAGGTGGAAAATGTAGTAACTGTTGCTGAAACAATAATAACTAGAGAATAAAAACTAGTGCTTGAGGACATGTTTTTTAAAAAATTGTAAAAGTAATGATTTATGAATGGGCGTGTCTTGTTTCCCATTTCCATAACATTTCCATATTATTTTAGGAAGTTAGTGGCTGGAAATTAAAAAATTTCAAAACATGGGTTTGGATACAGATATAAGTGGAAGGTGCTTATTTCAACTTCCTTCAGTTTCTGTTTCCACAGTAGCTCTTCATCCACTGTAGTCTGTCACGTCCTGTTGCAAAGGATTCTCCTTTTTAAACTGTGGGTCTCAACTGGGTCCCATTAGCTCAATGTTGGAGTCCCAAAATTGCAACAATAAAAGATTTCTGAACATCACCTAGTGGCTGTTCTAGATATTTACAGAAATCTGTTGTGCAGGGTTACAGTGGTCTCTGCAGAAGATGCTTTAGCTGTACTTCATAAAAAGGAAAATCAGCCTGTTTAGCAGAAAATGTTTAACTTAATGACTTTTGTATACCTATATATTTGGGGTCACATTAAAATTTCTCATTTTAGTTCCTATCCAGGAAGATCAAGTTGGCCTCCTTCATTGGGAGCTTGAGAAACATAATAGAGAAATGCAGAAAAGTGCAGATTCGTTCACTCTATAGGTTGGGGGGTTTAGGTACAGGTAAGGAGTTAAATTCAGCAAACCTCAATATTTTGAGGTCTTTTTGGAGGCATTTGGAAAAAGCTGACGGCTCTGAAGGGTCTCGTGGGGGGCTGGGGGTGAAAAAAGGGGCTAGAGTATTACACCGCAATGAGTTGAAGTAAATAAATAAATAAAGAAATATTATGCAGTCCACAAACCGCCCTCTAAACATGTCTTGTATTATTGAGAGATAATAATTCTGCATGGTAGCCATTCAAATCAAACATTTGCATTTATTCTCAGAAGCTTTGGAGGTTATCCTGTACATGGATAACAAATAACAAGGAACAACTATGAATAAAAATTTGACTAAGCATTGCTAGATTTGCCCCATATTTCAAATATCTCTGAAATACTTACAGCCAAGACGATAGGTGTATCTTCAGCCATGATACACTTATCTATTCAAACATCACTGTGGAGTGTTCTGCACAGGTATTTCAGGCAGTCCCCAGGTTATGAAAAAGATAGGTTCTGTAGGTTTCTTCTTAAGTTGAATTTGTATGTAAGTTGGAACAGGTCCATTTTTAAGTATAATTCCGGCCAAAAATGTTTGTTTTAGTTTTGGATTGTGTAGGGAAAGGTTAACAACCCTGTAACATTTGTTTTGCTGTCTCTGTCCCTATTTAGATGATTTCACCTCACTTTCTGTCTCAGTGATAGTTGGAAATTTTAGGTTATTGCGAAAACAAAGATTAGTGATAAAGCTTCCATGGACATACATTTTCCCCCATGATAGCTCTTTCAGGAGTGAATTTCCCTTCCTGTGTGTAGATTTCCTCTCACTTCTGTTGTCTCACCCCTTTTCTTAACTATAAGCCGCATATAAGTTGGATGCCTGCATAATCCAGTTCGGAAATGGTTTGAAACAAATTTTGCTGTATAGCACCTTCACAAACACCCCAGGAATTGATTTGAGACTGAGATAGTGGCTGATTGCCAACCAGGAACCACAGTGTATCAGAAAATGCGGAGTTTTTTTCTTAACCAGTCTACTAGTATGCTCAAATACACATGTCCATGTCCATTTGGGATCACCCCAGTTTTGAGCCCTACATGGTATATAGTCTGATTGGATGCTTGTTCCAGAATTTTTGGTGAGTTTTGTGAATGTGCTGTTTCTGGCTTGATCCATACTACAGTGTGCATTGAGGGTGTCTGTTTTGTGGACACCGTGCCCTCCATCGAGCTTTGAACTGGATTGTAGTGTCTGTGTAGAACCACCCTGTGTAAATGTCCTTATTGAAATTCTAGGGAGGACAAATGCATGTTGCATCAACAGTGTATCTTATTCTATTTTTGATAGTACAGGAGGAAGTAGACTGTAATTTGAATCTTTGAAATGTGTCTTCGCCCTTCCTGGAATGTTAAATTATTTTGTGTACCTTCAGAGCATTTGCACTGTCAAGTAATTGGTTGGTTTTGCATTTGTATTCTATATATTTGGGAGAAAAAAGTGCACCATTAGAAGATCAAAATGCCAAAAAAGAATACCTCCCACTATCACTACTTCTCAAAATTGGGTGTCATATTCATTTTTGGTTTTTGGAAACTATTATTATTATTATTATTATTATTATTATTATTATTATTATTATTATTATTGGTTTCACTATCTACTGGGTTTTAACTATCCAGAAATCTAAGAATCAGTGAAATGTTGTTGCTGCTGCTGTTTTATTTACCTTTATTCAGCCTTCTCCCCAGCCCTGGGATTCAAGACAATAAATCAAAATAAAAACCAACACAGCTAAAATGTACATCATGTGAAAATAAAAAAATACTGATACTAACAGTAGAATCAAAAGCAATTTAAATTGGTTCCATTTAGTAATTAAAGGTTAGGATGTTTTGACAAAAAACAAAGTCCTTACAATGTTTTTCTTCTTCTAGGTTAACTTGTTCGTTCTGCTTTCTGTTATCTGTGTTCTCTTGAACCTGGCAGGATTTATTCTCGGATGCCAAGGTGCTCAATTTGTGTCCAGTGTACCTCGATGTGATCTGGTGAGGAATCATTTTACCTGATTATGTCTGAAATATATTAGATAGTAGCATTTCTAATAAAAAGTTTTACTGTGCATTTCTAATATAAAGTTTTTCTGTGTTAGTAAAACACAGTAAAAAAATTTTGCAAAACAAAATACAGTATATCACAACTAGAATGAGAAACACAACTTTGTCTTATATCTTAATATGTTCTTTATTTTCCCTTTTTTGACCCATTCAGGGTCACAGAAAAAATTGTAACCATATCAAAAGATAAATAGATTTATCAGTTGACCTCTGTACCTCTTTATTAAATCCTGTGTCTGATCTCACATTTCCATCAGCCCTTGGCTTACCTGCTTAGTTCTTATCCCCAAGTAAAATTTAATCTTGGAGTGGAACTACACATTTTATGAAACATTAAGCACCACCAAAAATGGCACATACAACAGCAACAACAACAACCTTGTACCCCACCTCCATCTCCCCGAAGGGACTCGGGGTGGCTTACATATGGCACAAAGTGCCTATGACAAAACATAAAATAAACACACAGCACAATACAATAAAGTAAAAACTTTAGAATATAAAAACAACAATTTAAAACTCAGAACAACGTCCAATAACCTCTGGTGACAACTACCATAAGATATGGCCAAACTGTAAACAAGGCAAGAGAAAGGGATAATGTCAATTGTAGCTAAGGAACAGGGCATGGGATAAAAGTGCAGCGCTGTGTCATTGATTTTAGACCATTGTAGCTAGATGTTCTCAAAGGCGTGTTTAAACATCCAAGTCTTCAGATCCCTACAGAAGGAGGACAGTATGGGGGCCTGCCTAATCTCCTTGGGGAGGGCATTCCGAAACAGGGAGTCCACTCCCAAGAAGGCCCTCTCCCTCATCCCCACTAACTGGACCTAATAATCAACTTTTGGGATTTGGCTAATGGAACAGAGCCTCAATCTTTGTCTTGAATTTTATATTCCAGTAGCTTGCTAAAGCTGGAAAGATACATTGGGCAAGTTAAGAGTTTGAGCAGTTTCCTCAAAAAAGGATAAGTAAAGATTCACAATCCTGGCTTGGAGGGTTCTTACAAATCATAGTAAGTCGAGTCAAATTTTTGCCACTCTAAACTATTATACCCTAGGAAGTACTTCGTGAAGTTCTGGTTGAAAGGAAAGCAAGGTGCACCCGAACAGAGCACACATTCATTGTCCTAAATACCACAGATATGAAGAGCAGCAGAATTTAGCCATTAATGTTTCTTGAGGCAAGGATTCATCCTCTTTGCTTTTGTTCATGCAACTTTGTGAATTGTCCTCTATATTGATGGGATTGTTTGTGTGTGAGATGAAAGGCACAAATATATACATGCACAAATACATTGACTATGAAGCTGTAACATGAAATATTCCTTGGGTTAATTAAGAAACCAGCTATTCTTCTAATATTTAAGACGTCTTTGAAGAAAGGGTAGGATAAAATATTTTAATACATCATACAACTGAATTCTCCCTTGGGTTTATGCATAACTCTTGTTTGATTTTTTAAAAAGAGACTCAAAGCAGTCCACATGTAGCTCCAGACAGGTTCCATATCCTGGGCCCTCTCACACTTTTACTGGAGGTGTCCAAACAACACCTCCAGTAAAAAAGGATTAATTTAAGACAAAGCAGGAAAACTCTGCTTTATCTTGAATTAATTTGATATCCTATTAGACATACACCTTTGTGAAAGGCGTGGGTTTAATGGACTGTGGGCCCTGTGGGGACATGCCCAAGGGGAACCTGGGAACCTGTTCATACACCCATATTACATTTTTTGGGCTCTTGGAGCTCAGAGACGTGAGATGGCACCCATCTCCTTCCCAAAACCGCCAAAAAATCTTTTAAAATAAAAGGAAATCTTACTGGGAGCCATTAGGCCTCGGTTCAAACCTGATGGAACATACCAGTGATGTGCGAGAAGACGAGGGGGGGGGGTAGTCACTCCTGGCTCCCTGTCTCTTAGCGCTACATTGATACTTTCTAAAAAGCATGCCAAAAGACATAATGGCGGCCTGGTAAGTTCTTAAACATTTTAATGGGTTTAGGTTGGGGTGACTGGATGCCATCCCAATAATTACCGGGATGGTATGTAGGCACCCCATTGGGAAAGCACGGATTTTTAATGGGACATGTGGACTTTAACCCATGCTGAAGCAGGTTTTTAAAACCTTTTTCAGCGTGGATTAAAGTGCTCCTGTGACCCCTGAAGCACAAAGTTTCAAAATTTTAATTTCTAATCATACTACATAGGCATCTCCATTGAGTAAAGTACTCAATGGTAGATGTTCAATAAGAAGGGTTAAAGGAAATTTGGAAGACTTTAAAGGCTTGAAAGAGTTTTTCAAATCACATTTTCATCAAAACCCTGAAGAACAAAATACAGCATCCTCAGGAGCTTCCATCTGATCAGGGATAGTTTTTAATATGACGAATTTTAAAAACGGAGTTATGGGCAAACAAGTAAAATGTGGCATGTAAAATAGGTGATGCTTGTTCAGCATACTAGTTACTCATGTAATTCATTAAGCGTTCTTTGTAAATTGTTTTATTGATTGTAATTTTTGGATTCCTTCTAAGAATGCACCATGATATCTTTGGTTGTACATTATAAAATTTACTTTCAAATGACTAATTCATAATTCTCCTTACCTTCCTCAATATTAAAGGTAGATGTGGGTGAAAATAAATTTTGTTTCTGTTGTGAAGAATTTCTACCAGCAAGATGCACTGAGAAAGAAAACGCACTGAGGTTGTATCCAGTGCAGTCATGCAGTGCAGTTCACCTTCTCCTCAAGGTGAGGTCATCACCTAATATTGACTGCACAGACAATGAATAATCTGCAATGAATATTTATCCTGGTATTCTATAGTTGCTTTCTACAAAGTAATACTGCCTGCTTTCAGACGTGCTTTCCCCTGCTATCCTCTCCCGCTTTTAGCATTTCATTGTTATGTCCAATTCAGAGTCTGAATGGCTTAGGGCAGGGGCCAGATCATTTTAATCGAGGGCTACATCACCCTTATAGTTGCCTTTAAAGGGCCATTGAATCCATGGACAGAGAGTCTGTGGATAAAGGGCATCAGCTATATTTTTATAGTGCTAGTTACTTTTTGCCCAGTTTAGGTCCCCATATGTTATTTAATGACAACTGCTTTTTATAATCCAGTATGTGGATTGGGGATGACTGGAAATGTAGCCCAATAGCCCTTTTGGTTGCTTGTTCAAGAAGACGTCACCCAACTGCCTGAGCTGTGAGTGGAATTGACTGAGACGTGTTGCAACATGTGTGGCAGGAGCTGGACTACCATTTAGATGTGTGCTGCATGACTAGTGGCAGCCCTATTGAACATATCTTAGATCGTGAAAAAAACTTAGAAGACTTCCCCTTCACATTGCTGTTGGTTTCATATGTGTGCTTTCACGAAAATGTTTATCATGAATTTTTGGAATGGGGGCATTTTTTGTAATAACCCTGTATTATATCATGTCATTGTTAGCTGTCCTTGAGTCCTTACAGGGAGAAAAGTGGGATAAAAATAAAGTAAGTAATTAGAAGAATCTTCCCATCAACGATGTAGATGAGTCCCGAGAGAAGGCCTATGAAATGGTAGTATTTCTACACACAGGCTTTTCTTTCAAAGTAGAAATTAGCCATGAGGAAGATACTGATACCTTCGCTCATCCAACGTTCTGTATTATCCAATGCAGTTTGCCTCCCGCCCAGATCCACATCCATTTACGAATTTAGCACCATGTTTTTGTGCTAAATTCGTAAATACAGTAATTACTACATAACGTTACTGTGTATTGATCTGTTTTTTCTGTCTATTTGTTGTAAAATATGATGTTTTGGTGCTTAATTTGTAAAATCATAACGTAATTTGACGTTAAATAGGCTTTTCCTTAATCCCTCCTTATTATCCAACATTTTCGCTTATCCAACATTCTGCTGGCCCATTTATGTTGGATAAGCGAGACTCTATGAACAATTTGCCTTGCAGTTCTAACACTGCAGATTACCTTTTGTAGGAAGGTTTGCACAGGAATCTTAAGAAATGTCATCCTGTTGATTAGTCCCAACTTCAGTATAGCCATTGAATGAAATCTTAAATGGTTAGTCAACACAAAGGTGCATTTTATTGATTCCCCGGGTCTGCTGTAGTCAGGTCTAGCAACAGGATTCAAGTTAAAGAGTATAACCCACAGTAGTCAAAATACAACCATTTTCCATTCTTGGAGTCTACTGTATAGGGTTTGCATGCTTGATAGAAAATGTCCAGTTTTCAAAATATGTTATATTTGCTTATTCTTTTATATGTTTGACTTTTGTAATCCCTTTCTTGTCTTGCAGAAAGTTCTATTTGCTCTTTGTGCTCTGAATGCCTTGACCACAACTGTGTGTTTAGTGGCTGCAGCTCTTCGTTACCTGCAGATATTTGCAACAAGAAGATCCGGCACAGTAAGTGAGTTCAAGGCACATTTTAGTATATAAAAAGCAGAGATGCTTTAAATGCAGAGGTCTTAATTTTTTTTTAAGCAGGCATTTTTTTTCTTGTTAGGAAGAACCCCAGGTTTGTGCAGAGGAAGTTGAAGAACAAGCCCATATTTCTGATCCAGAAGATTTTGTGCCACCTGTTCCACCTCCATCTTATTTTGCTACATTCTACTCTTGCACACCTAGGATGAATCGCAGGTAAAGTGTCCAGATTGAAATTGCTCTGAATATTATGGGACGATGTATGGATAACTGATTTAATAGCAACACTTTTATCCATTATACGAGGGATATCCAGAAAATAAGGTTACAAGTTTTAAAAAAATACAAAGAATGAATATATTTTAATAAAACTTACATGGCTTATAGCATAGGTATTACATTATTTTTCCACATAATCACCATTCAGGTCAATACATTTTGTCATCCGTGCAATGAGTTTTTTATGCCTGTGTCAAAGAAGTCTCCTGCCACCTTTCTCAGCCAGTTCGTCACTTTGATTTTCACCTCGTTGTTGTCGAAAAGTGTTTTCTACCATGGTGTTCCTTCAATTTAGTGAACATATGATAGTCACTGGGTGCAAGATCGGGCTGTGAGAGGGGTAGCGTAAAACATCCCAACCAAATGAAGTCAACAACTCTTGTGTTGCATGAATGTGCGGACGTGCATTGTCATGAAGGAGACAGACTCCAGCCGTCAGCTTCCCACGTTTGTTTTGGATGGCTCTGCAAAGTTTCTTTGTGGTCTCACAATATCTTCCAAAAAAATCAATGAGCAGAACCTCTTTTCTGTCCCAAAACACTGACGCCACATATAATTCAGTTCAGACTGCATTATATGGCAGTGTAGATCCAGCCTCTGTCGCCTTTGTCTGATTCCATTCCAGCCAAATGGAGTCTGGACAGTTTGTATCCACCCATAGCCATTGTATCCATGAAATGCGACCCCTAAACTACACTTGTTTTGGTAATCCTGTCTGTTCATGGAGCAATTACCATAATCTGGAATTTCAGTTTCCTACTTAGAAAGTTGAATTACTAATCATCTTATTAAATCAGACATGGGCAAACCTCGGTCCTCCAGATGTTTTGGACTTCAGTTCCCAGAAATCCCAGCCATCTTACCGGCTGTTAGGAATTCAGAGAGTTGAAGTCCAAAACACCTGAAGGGCTGAAGTTTTCCCATGCCTGTTTTAAATCCTTGTGATTGTAAAGCCAAATGAACTCTCTATAAAATATTTTTTACCTTCAGACATTTGGTTTATACTGAAGAAAGCAAGCTATCTGCAAACCTTTGTTTTGTGCATGCTGAGCATTTCACTGCATCCGCAATCTTCTTGTCTTGATAGTAATGAAAACACTAATTAAGTAATTGTTAATTAAGATAACAGTGTTAACAGTTAAGGGTTACACAAAAGCTTTCAAATGAAAAAATAGCGAAGAAAAACAAAGGGAATATTCATTAGAATTGAGAGTGAGCACATAATTTTGTGATGAAACAAAATGGCAAGTTTTGTATGAGGAGGAAAGTGTTAGTTTTGATAACTATTATTCACTTCCACGGCTAAATTCAGTATTATTTACATCCTAGGTTATTATTTATTTACTTACTTACTTTATTTATACTCGTCTTCTTCCCCGAAGGGACTCAAGGCATCTTACAGTCACACACTTCGATCAATTTACAACAAAGCAAATACATTTTTTTTTAAAAAACCCAGTGTGTATTAGGTTCAAAATACAGTTAAAATACAATAAATACAATAAAAATGCATTTTAAAACACTCAATTCTCCCCCTCCCCCAGATGTCAGCACAGATATTTTAAGCAAAAGTGTTATGAAAGTGAGCAGTTAATATAAAGAGAAGTAGAAATATCTAGTATATTGAGCTATCTACTATGAAGGCTGAAAACCAAGGAGAATGCCGGGACAGGCTGGGCTCCAGCTAAGCTCTCCCTGTAAGAATGTGAAGAGACTTTGATGATGAATAGCAGTCCTTGGCTTTGCTGTGGACCTGTAGATGTTGTTGATCTCCAGTTCCCATCAACCCTGACCCTTTGATCATCCTGGCAGAGACTAATGAGAGTCAGAGTCAAACAACATTCAGAGAACTGTATGTTCTCTATCTGCATAGCTTATCATTTCTGTCTTCTGCCAGACACAGATATTTTTTTACTTCTGATTAGCAAGATAAGAGGGAATTACCTGGGCTTGGGCTGCACTCCTTAATTTGTTTGTGATTTGAAAACTTGAAACTGACATCAGTAGTGGACATAGCCTCCAGTATGTTACAGTACTATATAATGTACAACCCAAGCGAGCTCTTAGATGAGATAGGCTTCATCTGTGTCTACATCATTCCTTTTCTTCCTTCCATATAAGACAGTTTTACAATATGCCTGAAGACAATTTGACCATAGGGATTTACTGTATGAGGTAGAAGCAGCAGTAGATTCTGTCTCACAAAGGGAAATGGAAATTGTTTGAATTGATGGAAAATAAATTTATTGTTCTGTCCAACATGAAGGACTACTTAGCTGGTGGCTATTTCTGCCTCCTTACTTACTCTGGCTGATATATCACGAGTCATTTCTACATGACTTGCATTTGTCAAAATAGAATATATAGCAAGGAGCATAACAAAAGCAAACGTGTGTTTGTGTGAAACCTGAACAAAAATGCTGTCATCCTTTTTCTAGGCCTCAAATTGCTGTACTCCAACTCAGTGAAATCTTAACATTATGTTGACACATCTTTGAGTCATCCCATTTTTTTAAGGCAGTCTATCTAAATAATCCACCCACCAGGCCTGAGCTTTGAATTCTTCAGATAAGGTATAAACACATGTTAGAAACAGAAGAAAGAAGAAAAAATAGGTATGGTTTCATCACCACAGTAAACTTCCATTGAAAGTAGCATATCGACGTGACTCTGATTTTTCCAAGCACTCGGCTATCTGTCCTTTAATATGGAAAAGTGTCAATATTGGTGAAAGTCTAGTTATGTCCTCTGTCAATGTGGATCAGCCAATATGGGGCAGCTAGTATCGTTTAAGGACCCTTCCAGACAGCCATATAACCCAGAATATCAAGGCAGAAAAACCCACAATATCTGCTTTGAACTGGGTTATCTGAGTCCACACTGACATATATTTCAGTTCAAAGCAGATAATGTGAGATTTTGTTCAGCTGTGTGGAGGGGGCTTAAGGAGGCAAAATATGGACTTGTGAGCATCTCAGGGCCCTTCCACACAGCCCCATATTCCAGAATATCAAGGCAGAAAATCCCACAATATCTGCTTTGAACTGGGTTATCTGAGTCCACGCTCAGATAATGTGGGATTTCCTGCCTTGATATTCTGAAATATAGGGCTGTGTGGAAGGACCTTTAGGTAAACATAAATAAAACCACCCAAATCTGGATAGGCAATTGCATGTTCACTTGAAAGTAAAGCTGGGTATAATTTAAATTGGAGAATTTAATAAGCAAAGAAGCATGAACAGAGAGTCTCAAGACTGCTCTAAAATTAGAATAGTGTTTCTCAAACTCTCCTCGACGTGTTTTGGACTTCAGCTCCCATAAATCCCAGCCATCTTACCAGCTGTTAGGAATTATGGGAGCTGAAGTCTGAAACATCTGGAGTTTCAGAAACTCTGGAATAGAAGGTTGAGCCTCCTCTGAAAAGATTGGGCAAATTGGACCATCAAGACTTCCATGCGGTTGAGACTTGTTAAGAATTATGAATTAAATGGTTAAGTGCACGTGTCTGGGCATGCAGGGATGCACACATAAACAAAAATAATAAGAAAACTTTTGGGTTGTTGTAGGGTTTTTGGGCTGTACGACAATGTTCTAGAAGCATTCTCTCCTGACTTTTCGCCTGCATCTGTGGCAGGCATCCTTAGAGGTATGAGGTCTGTTGGAAACTAGGAAAATTGGGTTTATATATCTGTGGAAGGTCCAGGGTGGGAGAAAGAACTCTTGTCTGTTGGAGCTAGGTGTGAATGTTTCAACTGGCCACCTTGGTTAGCATTTGATGGCCTGACAGTTTTTAGGTGTGGGTTGTTACTGCTTGGAGGAATCCTTTGAAAACGTTTGTAGTTGAACCTTCCCATGAATAACAAATACTTCATGCAGTTTATCTTATACAGACAGTCTCCAACGTATGAACAAGATAGGTCTGTAGGTTTGTTCTTAAGTTGAATTTGTTTGAAAGCTGGAACAAGTACATTTTTAAAGTTCCTGGTTTGGAAGTGTTATTTCCCATTTAATTGTGCAGTACTTACTTTGAAAGTAGCTGTTATACCACAGAAACTTTGTTTTTGTGTATCACAAACTATGTTAAATTGGTTACTACAGCATACTGACTCATAGTTATACACAGCTGTATGCATATAAGGCATGATGATGACACATGTATGTAAGACCATTCACTGGGAAACCAAGCATGTAAAATAACTGAATAATAAGCTAGAAAAAACGGGGGATTTCCATAAATGAGAATAGACAACTGGATTTTTTCTCCCTCTTTCACTTGCTTCACCTACAGGTGTGCAGAAGAAGTTGTCAGTTTTTAGTGAACTAATTTGATATGACAGAGAGAAGACATGTCCCTGTGGTTACCTGCAATCTTACAAACACTAATAAATAGGTTTCCATGGCAATCCTGGAACGATGTGGTAGGT